GGGGGGGGGGGGGGGGGGGGGGGGGGGGGGGGGAAATAGAAATTACAACTGCTTTAAGCGACCGCGCAAAAATTAACAAACAAGCAATTTGATAAGCAGAAAATACGAAGCGAAAAACTAAACATGCCGGTATCAAGCGGAGTTCCATGCAAGACGGGGAAAAGTAAGTTGGGCTTCAAAAGACCGCAACAAGTCAGGACGCAGAAAACCGATTTAATGGTGCCACAGGGAATCCCACAATGAGACAACCGTGCTCCAGTTGCCTCCCCCTGTTTTGCAATGACCAGAATCGCAAGTATGCCCAATGAATGAGGAATCATTTTTGAGAGAAACAGTTAAAATTGAAGCTGATGAGTATTCTGTGGCCTACGCAACTTTCCTCAAAATCACGCTCAGGTCAGTTAAAGCGCTTTTAGGCATCAGCAAATATGCATGAAATAAACGAAATAAAATTTTTGCACGAAAAAAGAAACACAAAAAACAAAATGTTTGCCTTATAAGGAATCGGATCTGAACCTTCCAGTTCCTTCACGCAAATTTCACCCGATAATCGATAGCCACTATTTCTGTGCGGTTTTAGAAACGAAGATGCGAATTCTTGCTTCATGCGTTCCCTTCGTGCTTCCGCATACTGCGCAAGGAAACGTTCACAGTCCGCATCAATTAAGTATGTCGTTTTAATTCCACTAACTTCAGTAGAAGGCTGCAAATGGAGCACGCTATCAACAGTGTTGGGTACAATCCGAACTGAAGTTTCCTAATGTTTTCCCACAGGTACTTCCTTAACTTATCGTGCTGAAGAGTGTAGAATAACAATAAACGGCCCTACTGTAATCGCTGAAGTATCAGATTCATTGGTCCGAATTCGTCAGTGCAGAAATCAATCCCTGTACGATTTGCTAGTATGTGTGTCGAAAACTGTTTAATACTGGTAACCGTACTATGTCGGAGGGCCTGTAGACTCACACCAACTGCCGCACTGAGCTCGTGGGTTGCTAGCTCACTGATGCTTGTAACAGCTCCATCAACAAAAAAGCGAGCAGAGAAAGAGGAATGAGCAAATCCCTTAACAGATCATTAGCGGAATTTTCTCAGTCTTTCTCAGATATGGAAACTGGCAAGTAAAAAATTTTCAAAAACTTCGAATACCTTAAAAAAGACAGCAGAAACCAAGTGAAGGCAGATGCATATTCAGCAAACTTACATATTCCACTTCCAGATGAGCAGCAGTAGCAACATTCGCACTATTAAGCAGATTCCTCATAGCCGTTAGCATGCGTGCTTGTCGAAGCTCACGTGCTGTTGTGAATGGCGAAGGACTACCTACAAACCAAAGTCTTTAACATGGCCTATACAAAGATCTGCACAAAATCTTCCAGGAATTCCACTCGTCAAGTGACGTTTATACGTAGATCATTTCAAGAGCTACTTATGATGCAAGCCGAAGACAATCAGCCCCCTAGCATGTAAGGCTCATCAGTAAAAGCTTCCACTGCCAAAACAAAACTATCAGCCTTAAAGAAATGATTTTCCCAGCTGCTGCTTTGAGTAAAAGATTAGAACGCAGATATCAGTGGTGCTTGCAATGTAGCAAAAAATACAGTAAAACAAAATCACTGACGGTGCGCACCGAGTGGGCCTGTGCGATCATGTGTTTTTGCAATATTTCGTGCTGTAGTGAGGTCGCTCGAAAGCCCTATGGCTAGAATTTGTGAAATACCGATTCTCGAAATCCGGGAAGTTAACTGTGCAACCATGCTGTACGTGGCAGAGAAGATTCGTTAAAATTTCAGCTTTCCAGTTTTTCTGGTTCTCGAGTTAGCAATTTTCTCGCCAAAAAATTTCATGCGTCCGTACGTGAAAATTACGCATGACTGGGAGCTGAATTTGATACCTTTAACTTTTACGCGGGCTGAGAACATACCTTTAAA